AGCCTAGGTGCCCCTAATTGAGTGGCCTTTGAACACAGAAACATCAATACCAGCCGAAGACATGGCAGAAAGAATCCAACCTCTAATTGTATTAATCTTGGCTGGACAAAAGGGATTAATTGGTTCAATAAATAATTGACTGGTATCCTTTCTAAACACAGCAGAAAGGTCAAGGTACTATTGTAACAAACTGACTACACATAAGCCTGGTTCAGAAGGATCTTGAACCAAATACAATTCCACAAGTTTTTTGTCTCTCTTTTAGTATAATATGGAAACCTCCCGGGGTCCATGACAACCACAGTTATGAGATATGGATTTGAGCAGAGTAGACAACTTAATAGCAGTCAATCTTAAATCAATTTTAGCATTATCCAAAGAATTAAGGAAATTTAATAAAGGATCTACATCCCAAGTAGATGTGTAACATGGAGACAGATAACCCTTTTGGTAATCTCAAATAAAGGGCATCCTGAGTAAGGTTAGGGATAAGAAAATTTAAAGCAGATACATATGTCTTGATGATACTGTCCACTAAACCAGAATGGAACTTAAGAAGAAATTCTAAAGCCAATGGAATGGTAACAGATCCCAGAGAAGTAGATAGAAAAGAAACCTCCAATTCTCTGAATTCCTCAATTATTGTTCTATATGTTCAGCATCTTAAAGATGAATAAATAATGTCCAGGACCTGATCTGATAAAAGGGGATGCCTTAACAGCCTACAAGGGCTGCAATCCACATCAACTGCAGAAGCTTGAGCAAAAGATCGCTGGTTCCCTGAAAGCAGTCCACCGTAATGCCCAATGGGATCTTGGTTTCCTTGACTAACTGATGGATCAGGAGGTACCAGGGTTTGGAGGTCCATTCTGGGTAAACTCTGTACCCTGTCTCTGCAGATCTTCTCCAGCACTTTTATCAGTAAAGATGGAGGGGGAAAGGCATAAAGGGATGGACTATCTGTCCATAGGAAAGACAGTGCATCCGTTTTCCAAGCTCCCTTTGTCCAAATCCTGGAGACAAAACTGGGAGTTTGTGTAGACGTTTAGGATGCAAACAGACATACTTGTCTATGGCCTAAATTGCTTTCTATCTGTTGGAATAGAGCAATCTTTAATTGAATCATTGCCAGAGACAAACTATGACGAGAGAGAGAATCTGCGAGCTTGTTCGCCTCTCGAACGTATTCTGCATACACCCGAAGTTTGTTTGCTAAATTCCAAGACCAAAGATCTAGAGCCTCCAAACAAAGACCCCTTGATTTTGTGCCCCCTCTGTGGTTTATATAAGCCACCGCAGTCCTGTTGTGCGATTGGACCTTTACCAATGTCGGTAACTGATTTAGAGTAACTAGGCCCTGGAGAGCTAATTTTATTGCTCTTAACTCCACATTTTGGGCTGTAGACGCTGTATTTGCACTATATAGCTTCCCAAGGTTCCTTCCCTGTTGGTGACCTCATACAAAAACAATATAGTAAAGAAAATATGGGATACAGCTGTATATCTGAAAATTAAAACATTATTATTTTAATTTTCAGATATACAGCTGTATCCCATATTTTCTGTACTATATAGACTTCAACTCTTCTCTGACCTTCTTGGAGAGAAAGAATTTTGATTCTCAATGGCCACCCTGTCTTAATAGATTCCCTAAAAACCACTGACTTCTTCTGCAAAGTAAAGGGGAATCATCGTAGGCTGGAATTAAAGCTATTAATTTCTGGATAATGTTTGCCAGATCTCTCAAGGATTAGATGAGGACAGATGTACCAATATTTTGTCCCATTTGTTTCTGGGATTCCTAGTGATGTAGTCCTGGTGTTCAGTACAAAACCCAGAAAGAAAATGCTTTGAGTGGGAATTAGGACTGATTTCTGTAAATTCACTACGAATAGGTCTTGTAAAAGGGAAGCAAGATAATTCCTCTGAGAAGCAAGGACTTCCCCATCTGAGTGCATGAGCAGGATGTCGTCTAGATAGTACAGACACATGTAACCTTTTAGTCTGACATGTGCTATCACTGATTTAGTTATTCTGGAAAATGTGTATGGTGCATTGGATAATCCAAACACCATAACAGTCCATTGCCACACATTTCCAACCCATTTGTCTGAAGAAATATCCTTCCAATTTAGTGTCGTGCGAGGAGGCAAGCTTACTTGAATGCATAGGCTTTCTCTTGGAAGCAGGACCACCTCTGGAATGAGCTCCTCTGCCACTGCCTGGGAGCTTGTGTTTTCCACTGTAGTGGTGGTACTGGGCCTGGTGAAATGCTTCTCGGGATGCTCCCTCTGTCCGAAAGGGGTTCTTTTAGCCAGGAAAGGACTGTGAGCTCTGAAAAAGGATCTCCTTGCCTTATAGCAGCCTTTATCCTCCTGAATGATGAAGGGACCGAAAAGGTAAGAATCCTACAAATTTGGGAACTCATGTGATTTAGAAACTAGGTCAGACATTCCTGCTGCATGGAGCCAGCGGGTTCTGCAAATGTTTGAAATGTAATTAAAGGATTGGCCAATACTTAGCACTGCCCTGCAGGACACTTTCAATAAATTCAATCTTAGACGCCAGCAGAGATGAAGTAGAAGGTTTATGAGCATTGCCCTCTTTTTCAGCTTTATCCAGCATTAGTAATAGTGGGCCCACAGCATCAGCAATTTTAAAGTGTATATTAAGAAAAGTCTGGTCTGTGGGATCTGTAGATACACTGCTCCCTGTGATAGATAACGGAGTAGGATATATCTCAGGAGCCATTAAAGCCTGGATGTCCGGGATACCAATGTGGCTCCTGAGGAGAAGGTCATCCTCCTTAACTAAGGGGGATCTAAAGGCTAGTTTGGCAAAATATCTAACCTCAGAATCGTGCTCCATAGCCCATCTGGAGTGAAATAATTTTGATGGGAGAGTCTTTCCTAGGAGACTCACTCTAGTCATATGAACGTTGCTAAGTTTCCCTCGCTCAGTGGAAGCTGCTGAATGTAGCACTTCCTCAGATTACCAGTCTATTTCTGTCTAGAACTGGAACGGCTTTGGGAGGAAGAATGAGCAAACACTCTAGAAGAGGAAGAAGAAGGACTATCTAACCACCAATGAGATTTGTTCTTTTTCTCTGGAAGGTGTTTCTGGTGCTCAAACGAGGGAAACAAACGATTACTCTTTTGGGATCCTTTTCCTTAAATTTTTTGCTTACTCAAATGAGTATAAGGGGAAGGAGGAGCAGAAAAATTTTCCTCAGATGAGGAACTGGCAGAAGAGACCAGACGCCTTTATTTATTCTTTTTACGTAAAACTGGGACCATAACCTCCTCAGAAGACGAAGAGGATAGATCCCTGGCATTGAAAGCACTCTTATGGAACTTTCTAAGATTGATGGGGTTGCCTCTAAGAGAGGCATCCAATAAATCTGTTGTCGGACACAGATATGGAGTCCTCCATCAATGATGCCATTTTAAAAATCTGAGGTAATCAGGTTTCCCATGCTCAGCACAGCTCTCCTGATTACCTGATTGGCTTAAATGCTTTTGCTGTGCAAGAGCACAGTACAAGTGTTTTGTCAGCTCTGGTATTTGACTACTAGCTTTGCTAGAAGACAAAGAAGGTTTAGAGGCATTCTGTGAATATCGTGTAATAGTAAAGACAGGGGAGACCAAAGCCCGTGGGAAGATACTTGCAGTAGAGATTCTACAAAAAACAAAAAAAACTTTTACGGCTCTTTATGACACATCAGGAGATGATGATGTAAACTTTTTTGTACCTTGCCTAAGAGAATGGTGTGATAAATCTCGGAATGTACAGTTGAGGGAAAAAGTAACTTACACAGATGTGATTGTAACCAATGTTGTTCTGACTGGACCCTGTTTTGTTAAGTACCTTCAAAGGGACTGGGTAAGCTCTGCAACATGTTACATAAGATAAACTCTGAATTCAACTCAAGGCACATCATATCAGACTTGTTTGTATCGCTCCCAATTTTGTGGAAAAATCTGCCTATTTCACTGCAAGGGAAAAGGACACATGTGGAGATAACAAGTGTCCACAGCAGTCGTGCTCTGGATGTTACATTTCTAGATTCTGATAGATTGCTTCTGTGAAAGTTTCTGAACTGAGAGAAATTCCCCCACAATTATTTATGTGACATATTTTCAATTCCACCTCAGGCACTTAGATGCTCTTCAGCTGATCTTCCACACAACATTGGTACCTGGACCCCAAATGCTGTGCTTTGGTTTAGAGATACAGTTTTTAACAGCCTGAGAGCTCAGGCAGTCCCCCTGCTGGCACTGCATGAGCCGGCAATTCCGGCCATGTGTTCGCAAGGACCCCGCGATCACATGGCCCTGGAGGGCCGGATCATGCAGTAGGGGGCTGTCTGAGCTCCCAGGCATGCTCCCGGATCGCAACCGCCATCGTGGGATTGGCAACGCCCGCTGTCCTTAATGGGTTAATCTTCATTTCTAATAAATGATTAAAAACCTTGTATTGTTCATATTTGAACAGCATTGATAGGCCGAGATGGTCAACTGAAGCTCAGTCTATCACTGCCGTCCAAAAATGGATGAAATTGATACTGCTAATGCAGGTGAGGGCCCAGGCCACTGGTGCATTGGAAACCATTTGTTTTTATAAGGCAGCTCAAATGGTTTAACATAAGTGAAGGATTCTTCTTGTAACACCATAACTACTACAGTGTTTTTTTTTTTTACACAGCGTAGATACCAGTTTGCTAATTATTAAAATAACTGTTGACCTAAGCAATTGAGCCCAGAAAGACAAGGATAGGGGTGCAAGAAGCATGGGTTGTAATTGTTACTAGCATTCCTGTTACATCCCATTAACAGAGAAATAAAATATCAAAACACTCTGTAGGTTTTAAATCAATGAATAGATTTATTTAGAAATTCTATATGTGCTACATAATATTTTATACTGGAAACACAGAAGTCCGCATGTGCTGTTTTAATATCTCCAGTCACCCTCATCTTTTAATTCCAAGGCAGCATATTTTAAATGTAGATCCCATCATTATTAACAAGGCATGTTTCACAGTGCCCTCGGAGAAGACAACAGCTGCAAGATATCCTCCTTAAAAAGATCATGTCTGCACTATGGCGTTCAGCACATTTCCAGTCATAGAAATGGAAGAGATTATAATAATATTCATCACATGGTACGGTGGGTGGACCCTCTGGACAGTCCTCATCACTAGATTCATCGTGATCTCCACGATCCCAGGCATGGCAATAAGCCAGCTCCCGGGCAGCAGAGTAAGAGCTGGACTGTGTGTCTGACAAATATCTATCCTCCATGCCATTTTCTTTATCTTCCAACTCTTCTTCATTGGCTGTGTAGGCTTGTGAACTACCCACTGCTGAAAGGGATTCATCTGAAATGAGAATAAAGAAATGTAAGGTTATCATTTATACTTTAAACTAGATGTGCAACAAATCAGTTGAACTTTTTTGTTCTTATGTTTTAGGTTATTTTTTTCTTAAACTGCATGATCAAATAGATCAAATATTATTAAGTAAAAAATATAAAACTTAGACCAATAACTGGTATAGATGCAAAGGAATTATCCCATAAGATTTCTGAAGTATGCTCATCCTCAAAGGTACACCACTATAGTATTATATTGAGAATACTTCGTAATTGTTTAAATGCTCTACACCTATACTGCATCAGTTACTAGTATCTGTATACTCAGTATGTTTTATATAGATATATAAATAACTATCATCTTAGTATTTCCACTTTTTTTTACATACATCATAACAGAAGTTCCAATTGGTGAATTACTGATTAATGTATAATACCTCTAAAGGATCCTTCATCCAGTTGTGTTGTATTTTCCTCTTTGACAAAATTAGTATCATGTAAATCCTCAAGCTCAGAGTGAGAACAGTCACCATCACATCCGCCGTATTCCTCACTGATGTTGGCTTTCTCCATTGTGTCCTTACAAACAGAGTAAAGATGATCTGTCGCTTGTTAAGGTTGCTCTCAGCTATGAGTCTCCTTTCACAGGGTCTGCTCCTTTTATTAGAACAAAGTGGGAGGATCCACTGGATGCCTGAGGTGGTTGACCAATAAGAAAATGGCTTTTCTGGCTCTGGCTGTTTATGTTAAGAGATCATTGTTTCTGAACAATAGGTTGAGATAAGCATTCCTGAAAGTTGTTTGTTTTAAGTTTTCTATCTTTTAATATTCCAAAACAATTTTGCGTAGAACCAAGGATTATCATACCAATATTTGATCATTTACACCATAACAAAAAAAAGCTTATTTTTACATATAATAACATTGTGTAAGATATTTCTGCCCAGCCCTTTTTACCTGGGCTATAACATAAAAAAAAACTAGAATTTTAATCTAATGAGGTTTAATAAATTATAAAAAGGAACAGACAAAATCTATGGCAGTTCACCCTGTACAAGGAAGTTGGTAAACAAATAACAAGCCTGACTACATATCCTTAAATGCAAAGGAACTTGTGGTGTAACTTATTGTAGAAGATGACTTAAGAAGAAAAACCTTACACTGATATTAGAAACAAAAGTATTTAGCAACTGAAAAGTTTAACAATAGCAAATATCATTCAGGTATAGTTTGTGTACAATTAATACAAAAAATGTAATGCCTAAAAGTATGTGTTAAAAATTGGCATTCTGTTATGGTTTTATATATAGCTTTAAATTAAATGGATCATTTATTCAATAGTATCAGAATAGTTATTCTCAATAAAGTAGCTTTGTCACTACCCTGTAAACCTGGTCTATGGAAGATACTGCACTATAGTGGGATTCAACATAGACCTCTGTGTTATACTCTTGCACATACAAGAGAGTATGACATTGAACAAAAACAGTGACTTCTGTGTATGTGTTATAAATGTGTGCATTTATAGCCAATGAATCACTTATACTTGTTGGTTCCAAGTGCAAAAAACACCCATAAAATATCTGCAGCTCAGCCTACTGCTTACATAAATGAATACCCAGTACTGTATAACTGAACCTACAGCAATCATTCAGAATAACATCCGTTATTTAAAAACTCTGTATAAAACAGGTTTCTCATCAGCATGAAAAAATATACTACAACTAGTAGTTTAATTTAGGTGTACAAATATGTATTCCAAACCCTACATTGCTCATTTAAACATTCAAAACTTAAACTGAAAGCACAACCACATTTCTGAAATCATGCTAACAAAAAAGTTTCAGGAAAATGCAAAGTTAGGATACAAAGTAATTTGATCAATTGTTGGCAATTTACCATGCGTTAATAGATATTTGCATATAATGTGATTCTCACAATACACAATACACTTTAAGATGCATCTACAAGATCTCGTTTGCATGGAATTAATCTTTTTAATTATGTCTACTTTGAATTGTCTGCTTAGGCAAAACAATTTATCTTAAACATTTACATGGTTTCTATATGCCAAAGGGTGTGAATCTGGAGTCCTAGATGTAGATCTGAATGCAAATCTCCTGTATGTTCAGATCCGACCAAAACTGGGGTCCTCAACTTGAATAGATTTGTAAGATTAAAGGGAAACTGTCATGCACCTTTCAGTTTTCAATTGCTCATCAATTTTCATCTATACCAAACTACATTTTTTTTACTTTAGAAGCCATTACAGAGCTAGCCAGCCACATATTGTCCCTGCTCGTTTGGTACAGTAACTTAAACTTTGCAACCATACATACATTTGCATTTTATAATTAATAATTTTCATTAATGTGTCATCATGTTCTCAAGTATTGTGTACCCTTTTTATTCCTAATTTTTTATAGGTGCATATTTTGAAATCCCTGTATATCTGTCTTGGTTAACCCCTTAACGACCGAGGATGGTTCAGGACCGTCATCGGCATTTTAGCGTTGCCGACCGCTGACGGTCCTGAACCGTCACAATGGTCTTATGTACTTACCCGATCGCCGTCGTTCCCCCGGGGGCGATCAGCAGTGCTCCCGGTGTGGGGATACTTCCTGTAGCCCAGGCAGTCTCCCCATGGCGGATTAGGACCCCTAGGGCCATGTGATCGCTTAACAGAGCGATCACATGGTCACAATAGGTGTCCATGTGTCTGCCTACAGGGGAACTGCCTGTGCTGACAGGCAGTCTCCCTGCTAGTGTAAAATAAAAAAAATAAAAAAATAATAATTATATATGTTTATATATGATATATTAATATACAAACACACTTATAATTAAATTACACACGTATATATAATATATATAATAACGATATATTGTGTATATATATTATAAAATACAAATAATAAGTAATTTAAATTAAATAAAAAAATTTAAAATAATAAAAAAATTAAAAATTATATATCTATATGAAATTTTATTCTAACTGTATTTTTATAATATAATATTTATATAAAAATACACTTAGAACAAAATTGTATATATATATATATATATATATATATAAATAAATAAAAATAATATGAAATATACATATGTCCATATACAAAATTACATAAATAATTATATAAATATACACGTAGACTTAAAATATATAAATATGCATATATAATTAAATTCTACGTGCGTGTTTACGTAATATTTTTACATGATTAAGTAATTTTATAGATTGCAATTTGAGGGACCTGCCTGCCAACCCAGGCCGAAAGTCCAGAGAATTTAATTTGCTAGCACTGTATTTTACCCTGTAACTTTCTATGACACCCTAAAACTTGTACATGGGGGGTACTGTTTTACTCGGGAGACTTCGCTGAACACAAATATTAGTGATTCGAAACAGTAAAACATATCACAGCGATGATATTGTCAGTGAAAAGACTTATTTTGCATTTTTCACACACAAACAGCACTTTTACTGATGATATAATTGTTATGATATGTATTCCTGTTTTGAAACACTAATATTTGTGTTCAGCAAAGTCTCCCGAGTATAACAGTACCCACCATGTACAGGTTTCATAGCGTTTATAAAAAGGTTATAGGGTCAAATATATGGGTCAAATATTTTTACATTGAAAATGGCCATGTTGGTTATGTTGCCTTTGAAAGTATATGGTAGCCCAGGAATGAGAATAACCCCCATGACTGCATACCATTTGCAATAGAAGACAACCCAAGGTATTGCAAATGGGGTATGTCCAGTCTTTTTTAGTAGCCACTTAGTCACAAACACTGGCCAAAATTAGTGTTCAATTTAGTTTTTTACTTTTTTTTCCACACACAAATAAATATGAACGCTAACTTTGGCCAGTGTTTGTGACTAAGTGGCTACTAAAAAAAACTGGACATACCCCATATTGAATACCCTGGTTTGTCTACTTTAAAAAAAAATGTACATGTGGGGTGTTATTCAGAGATTTAGGACAGATAATAGTGTTACAATGTCACTATTGATAAATTTTAAAAATGTATGTTTTTAAAAAACGCAATATCCTACTTGTACTTATAGCCCTATCACTTGCGAAAAAAAAAAAAGCAAAAAAGCATGTAAACACTTGGTATTTTTCAACTCAGAACAAAATTTTGAATCTATTTAGCAGTTTTTTTCATTCGCTTTTGTAGATGAGTAAAAGATTTTTCAAGTAAAAGTAAAAAAAAAATTATCATATTTTTTTATTTTTTATTTTAAATTAAATTACATGAGATTATATAAATAATGGTATGTAAAGAGCCCTTTTTGTCCTGAAAAAACCCATATATAATTTGTATGGGAACAGTAAATCAGAGAGCAGAAAATTACAGCTAAAAAGATGCCTAGTCACAAATGTACAACATCGCAAAAACAGTCCGGTCCTTAAGGGGTTAAGGACTTAGCCAGTTATACAAGTTGTGATTAAAACAAAACGTAAACAAAACCTGGCATCTGTGCTATGTCTGTCCAACCATAATTCACCTTTTTCGTATTAAATGCACCCACACTTATATCATTTTGTTCAGAAGAAACAGGACTTTCATGTCACATCAAATATTTATATATTAAACAATTTAATATGAATAAAATGTAAAAAAAAATGAAAAATATTTTTTATTTCTTTAGTACTCTATGGCATTTTAACTGTGAATTTCATAATACTGTTAGCTGTTACTGCAATAAAATGCACATATTTGTATTCAGTGAGGTCTCACAAGTAAAATAGTAAACATGTACAGGTTTTATACTGTTTTGGAAAGTTACAAGGTCAATTTTAGCACATTACTTTTTTTAGTTTACACACTTTGAAATGCGCCAGATTGTTTATGTTGCCTTTGAGACCGTATGGTAGCCTAGGAATGAAAAGTACCCCAATGATAGTATACCATTTGCAAAAGTAGACAACCCAAGGTATTATAAATGGGGTATGTCCAGTCTTTTTTAGTAGCCACTGTGTGTAAACATTTTAACCAGTGTTTGTGACTAAGTGGCTACTAAAAAAGACTGGACATACCCCATTTGCAATAACTTTGGTTGTCTACTTTTTCAAATGGTATGCCATCATGGGGGTAATTCTCATTCCTGGCGAATTTTATTGTGAAAAAATGCAAATGCAAGTATTATATTACACTCTGTAACTTTTGAAAACAACATAAGACCTGTACATGGCGGGTACAGTTATACTCAAAAGACTTCGCTGAACACAAATATTAGGGTTTCCAAACATTTCAACTTATTACAACAATTATATCATCAGTGAAAGTGCCGTTTGTGGGTGAAAAATGCAAAAACTGCGCTTTCACAGTCAATATCATTTTTGTGATATGGTTTACGGTTTTGAAACACTAATATTTGTGTTCAGCAAAGTCAATCGAGTAAAAAAAAAAAACCCTATGTACAGGTTTTATAATGTCTTGGAAAGTTACAGGGTAAAATAGAGGGCTTGCAAACAATATTCTCTGGACTTTCTGCCTGCGTGTGTGTGAGTGTGAGTGTGAGAGAGAGAAAGAGAATGACATTCTAAATGTATTTT